TTGTCTGAACCCTTTGCTGCATCATGTCTGGACACTTCATGGGCTGTTTTGGGCTGTATGGGATTTTCCCCTTCCTGTTTTGGATGCAAACACATCTGACACACATCTGATACTCCTGATGAGGAATCTGTACTCTGGACAAGAGGCTACTGTCAGGACAGAAAATGGAGAAACAGAATGGTTCCCAATTGGCAAAGGGGTCAGACAAGGCTGCATCCTTTCACCCTATCTGTCCAACTTATATGCAGAACATATTATACGAAAGGAGAAGTTAAAATAGGAGGAAGGAACATCTGCAATCTAAGATATGCAGATGACACCATAATACTAGCGGAAAACCTCACAGATTTCCTGGCTGCAGTCCCCATTTCTATCAATGTTTGATCCCAGATATGGGAATTCTTTTTCTATTTCTCCATTGTCTAGGTGGACTTGTGAAGGTCCTCAGTGGTCCTTATTTTTGTTTTCTTTATGTTCAACATTAAGCCTGCCTTGGCCCTTTCTTCTTTGATCTTCCTTAGGAGGTGTTCCAGGTCTGTGAGGTTCTCTGCTAGTATTATGGTGTCATCTGCAGATCTTAGATTGCAGATGTTCCTTCCTCTTATTCTAACTTCTCCTTCTTCTGTGTCCAAGCCTGCTTTTCTTATAATATGTAAATGCTATTGTTATTGCTACAAATTCCAGGATTCCATAAGATGGAGCCATGACAGTTAAAGCAGTCATACCAAACTGCGTTTTATGCTGTCAGGCATTTTAAGCTGACGAGGGCTAGCCTTTCAGAAGCTGTGCAAGGTTTGTATATTGCAAAAAAGGTTTGTATATAATTTTTGATTTGTTGTTTATTAGCTTTCTTTGAGTCAACCTCAACTCGTGGCAGCCCTGTGGATGAGACATCTCCAAGACCGCTGTCCTCCACTGCTCTGCTTAAGTCGCGTCAATTCATACCTGTGATTTCCCTAATAGAGTCTATCCATCTAGCATGCAGTCTTCTCTTTCTATTACCTTTCCCAGCATTATTGTCTTTGCTAATGATTCATGTCTTCTCATGATGTGGCCAAAGTATGACAGCCTCCACTTGATCACCTTGGCATCCAGGGAGAGCTCAAGCTTGATCTGTTTAAGGACCTATTGGTTTGTCTTTTGGGCCCTCTACGGTTGTTGTAATTGTTCCTTACTTTTAATGAACTTTTATTATTTTACCTATTGTTTTGTATTTTTTAGATTGTACGCCTTTGGCAGGTTTTTATTTCTGTTTTATGCATTGATTGTCTCTTTGTACAGCACTGTGTACATTGACAGCGCTTTAGAAATAAATAAATAAATAAATAAATAAATAATAATAATAATAATAATACGGTGTTCTTAGCACTCTTCTCCAGCACCACATTTCAAAAGAATTGGTTTTCTTCTTATCTGATTTCTTTACTATCCAGCTCTCACATCCGTACATGATGACAGGGGAAACAATGGCTTGGATGATTCTAACTTTAGTGCTCAGTTGCATATCTTTACTCTTTAGGATCTTTTCTAGTTCTTTCATCGCTGCCCTTCTCATTCCTAGTCTTCTTCTGAAGACTACACTCATCCCTCCACATTCGCTGGGGTTAGGGGCACAGGACCCCCGTGAATGTGGAAAAACCGCAAATAACAAAAACACTATGTTTTTACCTGAGAGAACACCTCTCTAAGAACCTCTAGGTCTTCCAGTGCGACTCTGTGGTAAGCATCTCCCAGATATTGACCATAGAATTGCATTGGAGGAACTACAAATGCCTAGTAGAGTAATCTCTCTAGGAATCTCTAGGTCCGTCATCACGGCTTTAGGTTAAAGTTGACCATAGAGTTTCCCTGGAGGACCTAGATATTCCTAGAGAGAACTATTAATAAAATCTGTAAATACTCCAAGCCGCAAAAGTCAAAAGCTGCAAATGTGGAGGGACGAGTGTAGTTTTTAATAGATAATATATTTGCAATGCGTAATTGTTTCAAGGAAACCCCATGATAGGGCCACCACAAGTAGGAAACGACTTGAAGGCACACAACCAAACAAAAACCCAATTGTTTTAACCGTTTAAATTGCTCATTCGCTTTTTAAACTTTATATGATTTATATTTATATACTTTTTCAATGCTTTTGTATCGTTTTTTAAATTGTACTCTTTTAAATAATAGAAATTAATTATATCCTTGTGACGTGCAGATCTCTTGTCCGACCCAAAGTGGAATCTGGTGGTACCCTTCTTGCCCACCTTGCCCCTCACTCCCAAAATTGAAAGCAACAAAAGCTGGAAGTGTTACAGAGACAGGACTGAGACGGAAGTGACCGGAGTGGGCGAAAGTCCTCCTCGATCTGAGGGAGAGAGGAAATGGCTTCAAAAGAGGAGGAAGAGGAGGTGGCCGTCCCCTTGGCTCTCCGCGAATATTTTGTGACGGAGGAGGCTGGGGAGAAGATGGTGGAGCAAGAACCCTCAGGTCCCGTGGAGCAAGGAAAGGCCTTGGAGGAAACGGTTATGAGCAACCATGTGGCCCTGGTGAAAAACGAAGACACAACTGGGTGCGAACTTGAGCCCACAGAAACGTTGACGACATCCCAGTCAGAACTGAAGCAATCCCACCTCCCAGTCCCCCCACACTGGGATGATATATTCCTGACCTCCGTTGAGAAGGCAGTCATTGCTGGTCCGGGAAAATGGATGTCTAGTCTCATCCCAGGCTTCAAAGAAGAAGGACAGCAGTTATTTGAGGAAAGGGAGGTGGGGGACTATGGGAAGGTGAAGGCGGCCATCTTGAGGGTCGATGCTATCAGCACGGAAGTCCAGCGGCAGCATTTCCGGCGGTTTCAATACAAGGAGGCCGGCGGGCCCCGCGAGGCTTGCAGCCGCCTCTGGTTCCTTTGCCATCGGTGGCTGAAGCCTGAGAGACACACCAAGGAGCAGATCCTGGAGCTGTTGATCCTGGAGCAGTTCCTGACCATCCTGCCCTCGGAGATCCAGAGCTGGGTCAAAGATGGCTGTCCAGAGACCTGCGCCCAGGCAGTGACTTTGGCAGAGGATTTTATGCTCAAGCAACAGGAGGCTGAGAGACCAATACAGCAGGTAAAAAGCTTCATACGTGGCGATTCTGTCATCCCATAGCCTATGGGTCAGACATCAGCAGAGAGTGAAGATACAAGCACTCTGGAAATATTTACTGTATATACTCGACTATAACTTGATCTCATGTATAAGTCAAGGGCAGGTTTTGGGGCCAAAATTATGAATTTTGATATGACCCGTCGATAAGTCGAGGGGAAAACTTAGCAGCATATAACAAAGGATGTAAAGGATGATGCAAAAAAAAAAATGATGCTAAAGAACTTAATATTTTTTGGCAAGGATAACTGTTTGTGCTCACCCTAAAGGCTGGATGGATGAGATAGAAGAGGGAGTTGATGCTTCTTTTCGTTGCTCTGAGAAGGGACTAAGCTCCCACCTTTCACCAGGGGATGGTTCCTTTTTTAATAAGAGTTAAAGTACAGTAGTTACATTGACCCATGGGTAAGTCAACCCAGATTTTTGGGGTCAATTTTTTTACTGAAATTTCTATACTTCTACATGAGTACAGCATGCCTGTGCCATATGCGGGCTCGCCATACGCGGACTCAAGGTCACGCAGATGATGAGCCCCAGTAGAATGAATGGGGCACTCACCCATCAAAACAAACTGGACTTGAGGTTCCACATTATTTGCCTTATGCGG